AGACATTCAGCTTGCCACTCTTCCTTTACAAGAAAATAATAAAATAAATTCTTTGATAGGTTGTTTAGGCAGAGTATTCGTAATGAATCTAAGTTTCAAATGGACAGCAACTGCCTGTTGTAGAAACCTACAAATGTAGAGGGCAACGTCTCGAAAGTCTTCGGCCTTTCATCTTCACACACACACTGACCCGAAGACGAAAGGCAGAAAACTTTCGAAATGTTGTCCTCTACATTTGTAGGTTTCTACAACAGGCAGTTGCTGTCCATTTGAAACTTAGATTCAATAAAATAAATTCCTTCAGTGACATAAAAAGAAAAAAAGGAACTTTTTTGTGTAAACAATGAAAAATACTGGAAATGGAGGTTCAACCACTGTACCAAGATTTAGATCTAGATTTAAACAGTTTAAAGTCTCTGATGAGGTTAGATTTTATGAAATGTAAAAGTGTGTGTATAATTTTAGATAATGTAAGTGCCTATAAAAAATTCTACGAGATTTTAAATACAATACAAAATTCACTAGTTGTTAGCACAAATTTTAGTTTGCATTACTAAGACATAAATGAAGAACGAGTTCTTAAACTACAGAAGACTGAATATGTTATACTGAAATGATTTTCAATGTGCAAGTCAGCAAGTCACATGACAACCACAGATATTATAATGTCACAATGTAATGGATGTATCACAACTACATTTTGACAATGTTTGGCATTTTGTAAGCAGTGTGATGTTACATAAAGTTGATCAGTTTTAAATAGAGAAGAGTAAGTAACAACTCTTCAGATGCAGAAACAATCTGATCATAAAGATGAAGATGTTTTCAGATCTGAAATTTCTAATTTCTAAGATGAGGATATCTAATATACTCAATGGCTTTGGAAAACAAAGGAAAATGGATTAACTGAGATTACCATGACCATTCAGAAAGAGACCTGCAGCAAGATGTAACCACCCATGGTAAGCAAAGTGCAGCTTCTTGTAACAGATGTGAATCCAAGAACACAAAGGTTAGTGGTTAGAGCCATCCATGTGCCCAGGCAACAGTACACTACATAATCAAGAAGGATCCCTGTTGGAAAAAGTGACACAAGTCATGTGTGCACATGTTGCTTCCGTGACATATCCAGGAAAGGAAGACCAACTGTCCCAAATTATATATATATATATATATATATATATATACAGTATCTATCCAAAGAAAAATGGCAGTACATCATGAAACTTGGTGAAATGTATGTGTGCATTGATAACTATAACGTCTTGTTCTATTTTCTACTGGAAATGGGTGAAAAACAATTTCCAAAATTTGTAAACAGCATGATGCAAAATATTTCTGAAGAGATTTACATTTATCATTGGATACTGTGCCAGAGGAAAGTCAAGGATCACAAAAATGGATACAAACATAAAAGTAAACTCTGCTAATAATAATACTATTGTTTCAGACCCTTTATACAAAAATACTGGTTTTGTATGGAAATGATACCAACACGGTATGATTCCACAAAAATAGGTCTACCAGTAATACTTCCTCCTCAACCAATACAAATCTCAAGCAGCTGGAGAATGAAATGTATTCATGCTATTCTGTATGAAGACATACCAGTAATGTGGCTGGATGTAGTGCCTGTGGATTTCTGTGTGATTGGACTTATGAAGATAACACTTCAAAATTATCATACTTGTGCATTATATGGATTATGGAAAGCATACTGGGTGGTGTGGTGTTCTTTGGATATGACAGCCTTATGATATAGCTTTTTACAATGAAAACTACATTAAGGGCCCCTGGTGGGTTTCAGGTGTGATGCCCCCAGAAGTTCTGTGCTTTTGTGTCATTTGGAATTCAGAAACATGTCTAAAAATTACTCAAAAATCATCTCATATACTTTCAATGCTAAACGTTCAAGATTGGGTTTGAAAATATACTTCACATTGCAAGAAATTATACTAACAAACTGCCTGTTTGTGGTCTAAAATCATCATCACATCTTTTCTTTACATTTGTTTAGAGGGCCATGAAAGTGAAAGTGAGTCAAATGGTGTGAAAGTGCATGATGATGAAGAGGCAATGATACAAGAGGATGTTAGCTCTCCATCTAGTAATGATGAACCTGGACCAAGCAGAGGAAGGCATAAACAGCTTCGTTAATGGGAAACATTTGTCCCAGTCACAGTGTGAGGGGTGGGAGAAGTAGAGAAAAACATCTCAGTCACAGCGAATGGGTTAATCACTTTTCTTGGTTTAATATAAATACTTTTTAAATACATTATATATAGCATTTTCTATTCTACAGCAGATAAGCAATCAAAAAGATTACCTATTGTCTTTTACTATTTTAACTGATGATTAGAATATGCAGATAACTACCTGGGCTGTCCTGGCAATGGAGTGTCTTCCTCATCCCCCTCACTCCCACTATATCGATAAACCTCCTGTGACTCTCCTATCAAAACATATAAAACAGTGTTTTCCATTACTAGAGAGTTTAGAGCTTATATTAGGAAAAACTTTATGCTAAAAAATAAAACTCTATGGTCTTTATGAGACTATTAGTTGTAAACATGTTCTTTACTAGTTAGAAAGTGAAACATGAAAAAACATTAACCTTTTCCACACAGGTCACAAGTAAAAGGCCATGTCATTGCATTTGTTGACTCGCATTCAAAATATTATTGAACTACTATTTCATGAATTTATGAAAATAGGTTTAGTATTAAACTGTAGATTATAATTCAAATTTTATAC